CTATTTTCTACAAAGCTTCTTCTTCATTTCCTCTTTATTATTTTAATAATCTTTCATCAGTGTCTATAACAATCTAATTGAATAATCTTGATTATCATACTTATCTAAAATTCTTTGATGTCTCTTCACCATGTACTTAAGCTAATTCTAATAATTCTTATTTATATTCTCTCAAAATCTATAATTCTTAAGGAGTAATATCTCTTAAATATTTAGCTGGAGATCCTGCCCATACTTCTCCTTATTTGACTTCTGTGCCCTCTTGAACAAGAGAACCTGCTGCAACAATTCCTTATACTATTGCACCTTCTTTAATAGTTGATCCCATTCCAATAAATGCATCATCACCTATTATACATCCTTATAAATTAGAATTTGGTCCAACAAAAGAGTTGTTACCAACTGTTATTGTTTTAGTTGCTTTTATGTATACATTATCTTAAATTAATGAATTCTTTCCCACTGTTATTGAATTATTATCTGCTCTTAATGTTGCTCCATACCATATTGATGAGCTATCAAATCAATTTCTTAATCTTACTTTTATTTTAAAATAACATTTCCAATCAATACTGAATTTGGGGCTGTAAATATAGCATCTCCAATTTAAGGAGTATGTCCTTTGGCTTCCACTTATCTCAAACATTATACTAAACGATCATCACTTGCTTCACTTCCCAACATATCATTTCCCTAAGATAATAAACTCTTTCCTAATCTCCTATAATATGGGCCAACTGTATTAAGAACAAAGGAATCAAATATTTGGAGAATCTTAACTTTGAACATAATTATTATGTAATTTTAATCAATTTTAACTTAGAAAAGAGAGGAATTTCGAGTTTCAATTAGAAAATAAGAGATAGAAGCTATTTTTAAAAATAGAAGATTAATGTTAGTTGAATAATCTTCATTGACTTAATCTCTCTCTTAAATCATAAATCAAATCCAATAAAATTTACTTACATAAGATTAATCATAATTACTTAATCTCCTCAAATAATTATACACAAAAATATTAGTAGAAAAAGCAATATCTATATCATTAAATGAATTCAATTTCATTTTTTAATTTATTGAGAATTATACTCAATATTCATATGATGTTTTAGAAACTATTTTATTGATAATTTATGGTTTAACTTTTTCAAGTACTATTGAAGAATTTGAAACTTTTCTATAGACATCTCAATTATTAATTTAACTTAATGGTTTGTTTTATAATTGTTCATAATTTTCATTGGATTTTTTAGATTTACTATTACTTATACTAGAAAATATAGCTAGAAAATCAAATGTATGTTTAAATAATTTAATATAAAACAATTTTTTAATTGTAGTGAAATGGATGCTTGAAACTATTGAGATTTAAAATAATGAAAAATGTGTAATTAGTCTTTTAGGATTCCTATCTGTCTTTGTTGAATAAAATTTTAATAAAGAATACAAAGATTTATAAATAATATTGTTAAATATTAATAAACTTTGTAAAATCTTTTTGAAGATCAACTACTTTTCTATTGAATAATTGTTAAATGATTCTGATAATTTAGAAAAGTATGAAATTAAAATAAATTTAATTACAAAATTACTTAATGTAATCAAATATTATACAGATAAATTACAATAATAAGCAAATATTTATGAATACAAATATGTATGGAGACTTATTTTATTAATCAATTTTTCTGATTGTTAACTTATAATATTTTAAAAAATTACTGCATACATTTTATCAACATAAACTTAAAGTAATGAATTTTCAATAAAATATATTGTCAAAGATAACTAATAAATACTTGAATAACTTCTTAATTCTTTAAATAAATAATAAAAACCTTCAGGAGATGTTGAAAAATTAAGAATGCATAATGCCAACACTTTTAGAAATATCTTTTAGCATTTAGATTAAAAAAGTCTTAAGTTTTATGAATAAAATTTAACTGATTTAATTGAAATCGAATGTAATTATTAACTCTATAAATTAGAATCATGTAAAGTACTATCCATTTTGCTTGAATGTCTATATATTTTAATCTAAAAATTTCCAGATTTAAAATACCTATCATTAATTGAAATAAAATTGAAATTTTGTTATGAAAGTTCATGTTGGTAAAGTCTTAAATATTTGTTGCTTTGTAAATTTATTAATTTTAAATTATAGGTATAGCTTTGATAAATGAATAAGATTAAATGAAATCACTAAAGGAATCTAAGATTGGTTATTATATTGAACTCTTAAGTTAAAGTGGAAGCAAATAGATTCAAGTTTTAGCTTGTAAATTATTAGAACAAATTTGATTTTATATAATCTCTATAAGATTAAATAAAAAAAAATGAAATAGCTAATTCAAATTTATATATTTTTTTTCATTTACATCATGATATTAAGATATATAAATAAGTATAATATAGTATAACAAGGTTTATACTTCTTATCAAAGAATATGCTTATTATTATTGTATAAATAAAAATTAAATAATTAAATGCTTCCAAAAATTTAAGGATAAGCAGTTGGAAGAAAAGAAAATTTGGCTTCATAACAGATAGTAGAAGATCATCTAAAAAATATACTGAAAAAACAAGAAAACTAAGTAAGACAATTATTGAATTATATACAGAATTACAAAGCATGGAAAACCCCATATGCCCCAAAAAATCCTCATTCACCATTTGGAGATTTTCCAAAGGAATATTTGCCAAAAGAAAAGGCTAATTAATAAAAAGTTATTGAACCTGTTCATGAGACTTCCTAAAATGCTTTAATTACAAGTATACAGTTGTTTGAGATAAAATAGATAAATATTAAGGGACTCATTAAGGAACAGGAGGAAGAACTAGTTCATAATTATAGAAGAAAGAAGAATATAGACCTGCACCACCGAAAGCAGGAGCATTCGATTAAAGAACAATATCAGTTTCAGATTTCAGGAGATATTATGATCGAGGAGATTTACCTATTAAAGTTTTAAATTTGAAAATATCAATAGGTTGATCATTAAGGAAGTGTAAATAGAATTATATGGAAAATATCTCCAGAATAATTAGATTATCATCATTATTTGCCAATATTTTTTGATGGATTAAGAGTATTTCATAAATTTAAAAAATAAGGAAAAAATGGATCCTTATAGATTCTTGGCTATATTAGGAACATATGGATTACTAGAAAATGGAGGTAATAAAATATTACCAGTTATTCCATAATTGATTATTCCAATCAAAAGTAATTTAAAATTTTAGAATAATAGCAAATTTGAATACAAGAGATCCAAGTATTATAGAAGTACAATTAAAAGTATTACAAAAATTAGTATTGAGTGGAGAAATGGTTGGGGAGGCATTAGGTAAATTAGTTATCTTAAATTATTAGTACCTTATTATAGACAATTATTGCCAATAATGAATTTATATAAAAATAGAAATTCAAATTTAGGTGATTTTATCGAGTACAACCAAAGAAAACGAGTTAATATTGGTGACTTGATTTAAGAAACATTAGAATTATTTGAATAAACAGGAGGAGAAGTAAGAATATTAAATAAATAATTTAATAGGATGCTTATATAAATATTAAATACATGATTCCAACTTATGAGAGTTGCATTTTAAATTGATAAAGAATAATAATATATATATATATATATTAATAATTAAACATATAATATTTCTAATATTATTCAGTCAATATTTATTACTTTTAAATAAGATATATAAATAAAAATAAATAAATATATTTTTATATTTAGATTAAAATTGTATTAGAAATTTATAAAGACTCATATAAAAGAGAATAATGAATATAAATAAGATAATTTAATTTTAATATCAAATAAAACAAAATTTATTTATTATCAAATTTCATTTATTTTCCAAAGTGTATGATTGTCATTTGGTTTACCACAATCTATTTATTATAATGAGACTTTTAATTAGCCTTCAATATTACACTAATTTACATTAGTTTGTAAATAGTACCCAGTGTTTTAATGTTTAATTTCTAACCAGGTTATAATTTTTAAATTTATTTACTTATATTATCACTTATTTTCTCTATACTCCAATTATCACCTTCATCACTTCCTCCAACATCAATCTATCCATTACTACTTCTTTATTAAGCTTTTAAATAGCACTTTGTTAAAGGATGATATAACTAACAGTTAAATCAATATTAAAATACTTTAACTACATTTTCATTAATGTTTTCAAAAACCCAAGTATCATATTCATTATGACATTCCTAGCAACATAAAACTTCATTCATTCGGGAATTTTGATGCCGTATCCTATGAGAATGGAGATATCTCTCAGAACTTACATTAATCAATTAAAATGTGTTATTATTAATACAGCTTTCCATCAGGTTTTAATTGGATGTACACTAAGTAAACCGACTAATTTTATGACTACTTTCACTAATGTTTGGTGTTTCTGTCTCTTTTCCCAATTCTTCTTTGATGATCAATCTACTTACACTAGGCACTAAGAGTGATTGTTATCGGTTGAATAAATATTTATCAATTAGATTTTCTTTAATGCAAATACCATTTCTTGGTTCATAATAGATAGATGATTAATCAAAACAATTTGCATTTTATTCTTTCTAACACAAATTCCCCATAAAATTTTAATTTAATTAGTAGAATTCATTCAAGACTAAAAGAATTTGAATCAAAATCTATATAAATTAATTCAAATAATTAACAACTAAATAAAATAACAAGGTTAATTTTTTATGAATTTTTAAGAAGTTCATTCATTTTTTAAATGAGAAAATATAGATTATTTTGTTAACTAATATGATTCAATAATTTAATATTTACTGATGGATATAAAACATTATCTTTTTATAGAATTAAATAAAATACAACCTTTTAAATAGATCTAAATTAAATCAAAAAGAGTAACTAAAAAAAAAAGTAATTTTAAATATTAGATATTTATTTCATCAATAACTTGTAAGGTGATAAAGTATAATACATTTTCAATCATAATTTCATAAAAAAAATTGTTATTTAATATCATATAGACCTTCACTAATTGAATTTAATTACTATTTTAAAGATTTATATTGAGGATCTATAGATAATAACTCTTTATAAGATTTTAATAGGATTAACATATCATTATCTTGTTTTTTTATCTATAAATAGAAAATTAAATACATGGTTCTAAATTTCATCCAAATTTTCTTGTATATTTTTGGTTTGTTTTGTTATATGATTATTTTAATTTTCAAGAAAGTTAAACCTATCATTAAGAATTAGATCTAATTATTATGGGAATGTCGAAAAGTATTTTTCTATTGATTATTGTTAAATTTCACTCTTTTAAACTTTCTCAATTAATTCTTCCTAAAGTGGTATTACTACTTAAGCTATTCTATTGACTACTAATTCTAAATCTTTTAGCTTATTTTCAAATTCATTAAATGTCCTAAAATAAATAAACATTTTTTCAAAGTCTTGCTATTTAACTTATATTTCTCTTAAAACTGACTACAATTAAGTAAAAAATAAATCCAAAACTTCATATGTAACAAAGGAAGAAGGGTTTAAAGATTATAATTTAAGAACCATATCCTTATTTAGTTATGATTATCCACTAGGTGTGTCAATTCTTAAACTTTTGCTTCTCGGTTAATTCATTGCAGAAATTTTAATAATAAAATATTATCTATATATATTTAATTAGAATATTAAATCTATATGATAATTATATTCTTGTTTTGTATAAATATTTTTTCTTGAAATACTAGCTACTTAGTTGATAAGACTCTAAAAATCATAAATATTTAAATAATAAACTTAGTATTTTAATTAAATTTATATTTTTATATTAATCTGTAATTTTTAAGTAGGTCCCTTTCTTTAAAATAACTATAATTCAATATAAAGATATGAATTTCTAATGAAAAAAGAATCTTTTTAATAATGTATATAAATTTCTTAATTCTTAACACCAATCAGTTAATTAGTTCTTTTATATTAGATTTAGAATATAAAATATTAAATTTTCAATGGGTACTACATGTTCCTCTGAAAAATTTAAAATTTCCCCAACTGCATCTACTTGTGAACTTTTAAGCTGTGATCACCCTCTCATTTTAGTGGCTCATCAATGCATTTAAAACATTGATTTAATAGGAGAATTAGAAGCTGCACCAATTGTTGTTCAACAATATAGCAAGAAACTTAAAGATTCTAGTTAAGTACTTAAACCTGTATTGGAAAGATTAGAGAATGAAGAACAGAATTTTCTTAAGATCTGGAATTTGATTGTTTCAATATTAAAAAATGTTTCTTCTCTAATAAAGGCAGCTTTGTAAGACCCTTTATTTATTGAATATCTTCCTATTATCTCCTATAACCTTAAAGAGTAGTAAAATGATTTAGAGATGCTAATAAACCAGAAGAGAGGTCAATAGTAGATCAAGAGAGCTTAATCTCATATTATATAGAGCAGAGTTATTAGAATTAACAAGAGACATTAAACCGATAAGATTTGAATATTTACATAATCAATATATCCTCAATATTCATTTTTATGATTGATTTTTGAGTTGTTTAATTTATTTTGGTTGATAAAATCTCAAAGCACCAGAATTAATTGAATATCTTAAAAATGTTGGTGGTGGTCCGTCCTTTGAAATTTATCCAATATAAGATTAACAATTCATGCACTAGAGAGCTGAGTACCTCTTTATTGTAATAAAATTACAAATTTTTCTTTAATATCAATAATTTTCACACTATTTTTGTGATGCTAAAAGAATGATGCATAACCTGTTTATGCTTAATATTTGGTATCGCTTTAAAATAAAGAATTTTTGCAATGAAAACACTAATAAACACCTTATTGATCATGCTTACATATATGGCAAAAAAAATACATTCCAAAATTCTCCTGTAAAAGGTCTTTCCATTCCTTTTGCAACAGCTATCCAATAATGATGAGGATCCATAGATAATCTATCTAATCTAATTTCTATCTTTTTTTAAGGTTTGATAAGGTTTTTATTTATAGCTTCAAAAATTTTATTGAATTAAAACTTAATTTTCATTGTTTTTAATTTAACACATAAAAAATAATTTAATTGGAAAATAGAATTATCAAAATGATTCTAGTTTATAAAATATGAAAAAAAAATTATAAATTAGCATAATATTTTAATAATGAAAAGATAATACATAAATGTTCTGATATTTTTAATAAAGTATTGATTAATTATCATAAAATTTAATATATATGTATATTTAAGATATTAATGTAGAAACTAAAATACAAAGTCTCAAAAGTTTCCAAATATCTTTATCAAATTTGGTAAACACAGAATAAAATTTTCTGCATTTGGAAATAATTCACAGGGTATTTTCAACTTACTTATCACCTATAGATCTGAAAATTATAAATTATTAGCTAGTGCTAATTTTATAACAATCCCTTCTTTTCTATTTTATTTATTAATGTCTCCTGTATATAATATTAAAATATTAGGAATCTGCAAAAACTGGATAAAATGGTTCTACAGTTGTATTTGTGTTGATATAAATAACAATATATTTTTTTCTTTTTGGTCTGCATTTTGTTTGGATCCTGGAACTATACCAAAGATAGTAAGAGTTTTGGAAATAAAAGAGACTTGAATATGAAATGAATGATGAACTGTTAGATGTGCCATAGAAATATTCAAAAATAGATTACAGATTTATAATGGATTCAAAAAATGTTTATAATAAAAGCTCATTAATTTAAATTAAAGTATTTTTCAACTTGTAAGCGATTAACATTTAATTAAGTGCTATCTATCGATCTGTTCGAGTCTCTCATTGTCCTTCTTGTGATAATTGCGTTGTTAGATTTGATCATCATTGTTCTTGGATTGGATAATGTACAGGAAGAAGGAACTACATTTATTTTTATTTTTTTCTTTTGTCTTTCTCCTTTAAACCAATTTTTGTGTTTGGAGTTTGCCTCTCTTATATTGTTGATGAATCTAAAAAAAGATCAGTAAGTAAGGAAACATAAGATGCTATATCAGAAACCTTAGCTAACTATCCTATTAGTATAATACTTGTAATTTATTCGTTTGGAGTAATACTTAAACTTTATTTTTGTTTTGTTATAGGTTTATGGGGATTTCATACATATTTGGTTCTCACTGATATGAGAACAAATGAATATTTGAAGAAATATTGGACAGTAAAAAGTAATAATCAATTTAGAAGGTTCCTTATAAATTTATTACGAGATAAAATATTTTTAATAACTTTTTAATGTACTTACTTGAATAACTTAACTGAAATTTTTAGAATTAAAGCAATATGTCTATGAACCTAAAGAATATATACAAGTAAATTATAAATCCTTATTTTTTAAAGAGTCATATCCATACATAAAATCACTTAAATGAAGTAAATGATTCTTAAAAATATAGAGAAGAAGATAAAATTTAAGTTGAATATAGAGGAAATCAAATGCAATAATAAGATATATAAATTATTACAGAAATAAAACCTTGATTAATATTATTAATTCAATCATTAAAATTTTATCTCTATCAATATCTCATTTTATCCAAAATTTTTATTGATTCTTCAATTTGAGGTCTAAGTTTGCTTTTTTTCAATTAAGTTTTAAATTCTTCTTACTTATTCTGTAGTTTGGATATTATTTAATTATGTAGATATTGATTTTAATAGGATAGCTGGCATTCTAGCTAAATGATGTTAAAGAGCATTCTCAATCCAATCCAGAGTCCTCAATTTATGCAATAAAAATTCCACTTAGGTAGAATCAAGTCTTTCTGTACAAGGACCTGTTTTCATCATAGTTGATATAATAATTTAATCATCCAATGAAGTTAATGCAGTACAATAGGCTTCATTTAAATTTTCTTTCTAAAATCATAAATTAATTTTACTTTCAATTATTCCTCTACTCTTTACATTATCTTCTATTATTCTTGAATTTTTGGATCCTTTAATTAAGGTAGTGGAGAAGTCTATTCCTTTGTCTACTTGCTGTCATTGGTTAGAATTGATTAATCTCGAATTCTTTATGGAGAAGCCTCTGAAGTCGATTTTTAATGATTTTCTCTTTCTTTAAAATCTGCTTCACTCATCTTTCTTGAATTAAATTCAAAATTTGATTCTCCTAATTTAGATTCAGTAATTAATTCACATTTTTATCCAAAAAAAAATAAATCTTTCATTTTGGAATTTTATAATTATTCTTAGTTAGCTTCATTTAATGAATCATACATAAGTTAATCTTTTTATTATTGATTTTCTTAATGAAGTAAACAAGGAATCATCTAATCCTCATAAATCTCAGCAGGTTATACTTTCTTTTTCAAGCATAGTAATTATTATTATTATTATTATTATTATTATTATTATTATTATTATTATTATTATTATTATTATTATTATTATTATTATTATTGTTATTGTTATTATTGTTATTATTGTTGTTATTGTTATTATTGTTATTACTATTGTTATTAAAATTTTTTTTCAATTGTTTCATTCATCTTCTCTAATAGTAATTCAATTTTATCTATTCTATTATTAATCTTAAAAAATTCCTGCTTAGTTATCTATTCAGACTCTTCAATTTTTTTAGCAATAATTTATTCATAATAAGCCAATTACTTAGATTTAGCAGAATCATATAATTTAATCAGATCTGTTTATTATTTTTTAGGTGTGGTTGAATTTATTATATAATTTGATGTTTAAATTTCTTAACTAAGATTGACTTATCTTTTCTTAGAACTAGATCCAAAAGTATTTATTTTATTATTGGACCCCATCTATTAAATTTATTCTTAGTGGGGAGATGCTAATACATTTGATTCGGTCAAAATTTAAAAAGGCGATTATCTTTTTTCATTACTATAAAATCTTTCCCTTTTTAATTGCGGATCATATCCAAAAATTTACTATTTTTGTTAATCAATTTCTTTTGGCTTGTTCTCTACAATTTGAATGTCATGTTGTTTTTCAAAAAACCTTTTATTTGCATTTTATTTAAACAGTGATTTATGCTCTCTTTAGGATTATTATTATAAAATTTAAGACTCTTTTAATGAAGAAATAGCAATAGAAGCAGCATCCCTTACATGCTTAATTTTATCAAATCTTAATTCACTAATCTTATTAGAGTACTGTTAATTTGCTCTAAAATAATGTGGAAAAATAACACTTAATGTATACAATATATCCACTGCAATTTTACTAATCATAAAATAAATGATACCGTGAATTCCATTCAGATGATTATAGACAATTACAAATTGTATTCAAACAATCTTCCAAATTTGGCTCAAATATTTCTTCCACACTTAAAATTATACTCAAAAGACTTTCCAATAATCCTTATTATGTTTAACAATGAGGTGATCTAAGTAAAAATATAAATTTACTTTAATATTTCTAAAGTTCGTTAAGTGTATTATTTGCAAACAAGCTCCAATAATTGCGATTTGCTAGTTTTGATAAGTCTAGATAGAGCGGCTGCACTTATCAACTAAGCCACTTTGTTATTATGAATAAAATTTGTCTATAACAATTCAGTTATTTAGAAGAATAAATCATATTAATTTGGAGATGTTTGAATTGTAAATTCATTAATATTTGCAAAAGTGTCTGAGATTACCTGTAAAAAAGATGAGTCTCCTATTTTTAAATTCATTATATATTAGTACCTTCCGAAATTCTTTTATTAATTATTTGAACTACTCTTGGTATTTATTCTTAGATATCATTACCTCTTATTTCAGATAAAAGTCCAAAGACTTTAATATAATCCTTTTTTGCCTATTTAGAGAGATCATTTGAATCAAGCAGATTTGTTAAAATTACGAATTAATTTTAAGACAATTATCCAATTAATTACCTCAATTCACTAAATCCTGTCTAAGCAGTACTTTGGGAACTAAAATGGTTGTTTAGAAGCATACTGTAATTTTGCTAATGAAGCCAAGAGTATAGTTCTTAATTATGAATTAGAATCATAAGAACTTTATTGTCTTCTGGATTTATTTAAAGCACTACTATTCATTTTAAATTTATTTATAATATAACTGCTCGACAATAAAAAAAGATTTCATAAAATGTATTTTGTTGTAATTAATTTTACGAAGTCTTCATATCTGATTTCCAAATCTTTATCTGGATTTGCTTCTTTAATTAATTAATTAGCTTCTTCCTCAGTTAATCTTTCTCCCATAGATTTTACCATATGTCTTAATTCATTAGCATTGATTGTTCCTTTATTAGACTTATCTAATATTCTAAATGCATCCATTAATTCCTCTTCTGGATCTACATCTCTATGTTTTCTTGCCATCAAACTCAGAAACTCAGGAAAATCAACCATTCCTGTAGAATCAGGATCCACATCGTTTTTCATTTCACTTATTTCTGCCTCTGTTGGATTTTAATTCAATGATCTTATTAATAATCCCAAGTCATCTACCTATAAAAATAAATTAAACTTGATTTACTTTTATTTTATTATCACCATCTTTATCAAAGAGGGAGAAAGCTTCTTTATAATTGGCAATTTAATCTTCTGTTAATTATTGATCCATTAATTTAAATAATATAATGCTTAAATCGTGGGATTTATTTATGACATCTGCTTTGGATTTACTTATGGAATCACCTTAAGCCAGAGCCAAAGTTAAATACTATAAAATCAAGCAATTAGCCTTACTCACAGTCACTGATGATAAAAAACATTTCATCTTCAAATCAAGAAACGTGGATGAGATTGAGCAATTTATAAAATTGACAAGCAAACTTATGTTGAATGTTGATCCAACAGAGGTGAAAGAAGAACCTTAAGAGCCAAAAACAGATAAAAAATAAAGCAAGAAAAAAGGAAAGGGAAATAAAAAATGAGTTTTATAGATCTATATTATTTTATTTTTAATTTCATTCATAATTCAAATATATACTAGATGGAACAATAGAAATAATCTCTTTTATTTAATAATCAATAATTTGTAAAAATGAAAGGGTTAAGATTAGAATAATTATTTATTTCATTTTATCAAATAAAATTTTCGTTGATCTAAACTTAAGTTGTGTCTTCTTCTAATGAATGAAAATTTATCATATTCTTTGAATTTTCTAATAATAACAATAATATTAAGACACACAAATATAAATTAATTTTATATTTATGTAAATAACTATTTTTATAATTATTCTATAAATAAATAATTAGTAGGAATTAAAGAATTCCAAATTTCAGAATTTATCAATTCTAGTAATATAAAGCTTTATGAAATATTCTTAAAGCCATAAATAAATTTAGTTGAATGACAGATAAACTTTAGACAATAGGTAACATAATCATAGATTTTAGGAAACAGAGAAGAATAACTTGTAAATACTGATAATAGAGCTGAATTTTCACTAGGAAAATTTACACCAATTGAATTAGCTTGGGATAAACTTATAATAAATGCCACAATAAAAGTTGGAAAGGTAATTCCTATACATAAATTTAAGACTACCACAGAAAAATGCTTACTTAATAATCTTAAAGGAGTGATGAAACCTGCTCATTTTACTGCTATTTTAGGTCCATCAGGATCAGGAAAAACTACTTTATTAAACTTTTTGTCAGGTCGTTTAATATCTGACAATTTAAAAATATCAGGAGAACTATCTTTAAATGGTAAAAGAATTAATGACATTGATAAATTTAATGATTAGATGGCTTATGTCATGTAGGATGATATATTATTAGCCACCTTTTCACCAAGAGGTATAAAATAGTATAATTGTATTAGAGGCCTTTTATTTTTCAGCTAATATGAGATTAACTATTAGTGCAGAAGAAAAAACTTAAAGAGTAGAAGCTTTAATTAGAGAATTGGGAATAACTAAATGTGCAGATACTAGAGTGGGAAATACATAAATTAGAGGTGTATCAGGAGGAGAAAGAAAGAGAGCCAGTATTGGAGTTGAATTATTAACAAATCCAAGTCTCATCTTTTTAGATGAACCAACTACTGGTTTAGATTCTTCTACTGCCTTATAAGTGATTGATTTATTGAAGAGATTGGCCAAAAATGGTCGTACAATAGTTAGTACTATCCATTAACCATCATCTGAAATCTTTAATAATTTTGATAGACTTATGCTATTAGTTAGAGGAAATATCATATATCAAGGTGATGCAGAATAAGCTATTGATTACTTCGGTACTATGGGATATTAATGTCCTAACTTTTCTAATCCTTCAGATTACTTTATGAAATTGATGAATGAAGAAGGACTACTAGTAGAAAAGATTTAAGCAGGAGAATCAGATGATTTTGATGATGCTTAAATAAAGGCTGAATTTGAACAAAGATTAGAAGGGTTTATTCAAAATTATAAAAATTCAAATATGATTAAAGATTTAGAAACTCATGAAACTGCATTAATTAAAGAAAATGATATTGGATTCCATATCGGATTTATTTAATAATTTGTACTTATTTATTAAAGATCATTTTTAAATGAAATTAGAAATCCAATGGATGTAAAATTGAAAATATTTTAATCTATTGTAAATGCCATTATGTTAATGCTAGTTTATTCAGATGTATATTAAATCATTTATATTTTTAGTTGGGTAAATATAACGAAGGATTGTAAAATAGATTTGGAGCTTTGTTTTTTATTTGTACAGCTAATGCATTTGGTGGAATTCAAGGAGCTTTACATACATTTTCAATGGAAAGACCATTATTTTTAAGAGAAAGAATAAACAAAACTTATAGTGTTCATTCATTCTTTTGGGCAAGATCACTTGCTGAATTTCCATTCCAAATAATTTATCCTTCTCTTTGTGTTATAATAGTTTACTATGTTATTGGATTAAGTGATGAAAATGTAGGCAAATTCTTTATGCTTATTTTCATTTAATTCTTAACATATTAATATGCAGTTTCATATGGATTACTTTTATCAACCATAATTCCAAAAATTGAAGTGGCTACAGCATTAGTCCCTGCTTTGGTTATTCCATTTATGATTTTGGGAGGATTCTTTGTTAATTAAGATAATATTCCTTATATATTCTACCCTTTCACATATTTATCAATGTTTAAGTATGGATTTGAGGCAGCTGTCATTGTAATAATTTTAATTTTATTTTTAGAATGAATTTGATAATGTAAATTATGAATGTATGCCAGGTTAAAGTTGTGATCCAGTTGAGATGCTATCAATAACATTAACAAAATGGGAATGTTGTTATATATTAATTGGATTAGCTATAGGAATTAGAATGTTTGCCTATTTGGCACTTCATTTAATATCAAGTCCAGAAAAACCTAAATTATAATCACCTGAAAGCATGTAAATAAATAATAAACCTAAATGACTTTTTTGTTTTTTTATATATAATTATTTATTTTTAAATATGATAAAAAAAAAGTAATTAGAAAGTTTTTTACAATAAGTCCCTGATTTTGAAGGTAAACCAAATTGGAATCTAGAATAACATATGACTCCTCCTTCTTTTGCTAGTGAAATAATATAATTGATTCTTAATGAAGAGTCATTAGAAAATTTAGTATGTGCAGATTTTGGATGTGGAACTGGTATGTTAACAGCTGGATTATTGTGTTGTAATGTAGCTCATGTTTGTGCTTATGAATTTGATGAAAAAGTTGCTTAAGAGACTTTATAAACTTTATAAGAGATGCATGATGGAGCATTTGATTTGATTATTACAAATATTAAGCATCATAAATTCCCATCTCATAAAGTTGACTTAGTTTTAATGAATCCTCCATTTGGTACAAAGGAAGCAAATATTGATACAGTATTTTTGCTTTAAGCATTTGAACATTCAAATGGAAATGTCTACTCTATACATAAATCTTCAACTAGACAATATTTGGAAAAATTAGCAATAGAAAATAAACGAACCTTTAAAGTACTTAAGGAATTTGAATTTCCTTTACCTAAAAAATTTTCTAAATATCACAAAAAAGGTTAAAAGAATATTCTATTTTAGACCTTGCATTTACATAAGTAGATTTCATAAAGTTTGGCTATGTAAAATAATAAGAAGGAAAGTAAGAAATATAATTAAATTGAATTGTTATATACAAAAATTTTCTATTTAAATATTAATATCTATTTTCTGATTTAAAATAGATTGATTAGGTAAAATTCTTCTATAAGTAATTTATATTTTTATACTCTTTAAAATACAAATAAATTTGTAAATTATATTTATTATATGGTTGTTTTTATAAAGAAAAGATTAAAGATGAATATTCATGTATTTTAAAAATTAATAATTTATAATATGAATTATTAGATATATAAAAAGTATTCTTGCCTTATTTTAACATATCGTTAATAGCATTTATGATTTTTAGTTTAAATTACATATCTAATAATTCATTAGATTATTTTCAAAATATATATTATAAAAGAATAATTAGTTAATATTTTCTATGTTAAGAAAATTTATTGGTTTTTGAAATATTAAAATCAAGTTTAGATTGCTAAAAAAATCTATAGATTATTTACTTTAATGCTATAAAATACTCAGATTGCTTTATTTATATAATTAAAATTTATTATGTAACCTTCAGTGACTTACTTTGAACTTTAGACTCTTATATTCTTGATCATTTTTGGAATGATCTTGATTTCATTGAAATACTTTTCAGATCCAAAACAAAAGGAATAGAAAGTAATACTTGATCAATTAATTGATAGTTAAAACTTTGGAATCGAATGATTACTAATTATGAAGGTATTTAACTAAGCATAGATGAAGAATAACTTTTAAAATAAACTTTTAAGAACACTTTAAGAAATCGTAAAGTTGCACTAAGTCCATCCATTCCAAGATAGATAAAAAGTACAAAAAAGGTTAGCTTTTAAAATTTGGATGACTAATTATGAAAATCTATCCTTTATCGATATTCTTAAATTAGAATATATAAACATTTATAGACATCATTGTTTTTATTATTTTTTAAATTAATAAGTCATAATAATTATATCATCAATGCCTCTTTCATACTATTTCTACCATGAGATCCTTAAAATTGTTATAAGTTAACTAATTTTATTAAATAATACTATACATAATCTTTTTAAATTAATTCCATTAGAATTTCTATAAAATATTCTTTTTCTAAAGAGAACTATGTTGCCAAACTTTCAGCAGTAATATAATTTTTTTTATTTTTCAATAATTTAAAGCTAGTCATTAATACATCTTCTTGAATTAGATTTTTACGTTTGAATGCATAAAGTATGAATTCAGCAAAAGTTATTTTATTATCTTTATCCATATCTACTTTTCTAAAAATATTATGACAAATAGATTTAGATTTCTCATCATCTTATACAAAATCTGTATATGATGACATAAGTTCTGAAATACTAAAAAATCCATCATTATCAAGATCTAAAGATCTAAAAACTGAATAAATATCTCTAAGCTTATCTGGAGGATAATTATTAATGATAAACTTTAGAATATAAGCTTATAATAAATTTAATTTTTTTGATTTTCTTAATGTAAGCAATGTTTCTCTTATTTATTCATCTCTCAAATAGACTTCTTATTTTAATAGCCAAGGATGCTTTGTTATATCTTTTAATTTAATTCTTTTTTTTGGATTTTTATCTAATAATTATTATAATAATGAGATAGCTTCATCAGAAATCTATTATTCATATTAAATTTCAGATATTAAGATTTCTACTCTTAATTTATTTATTGATTTAGATTCATATGGAGATGTATGATAAAGTAATTAATAAAGGATAATTCCTAAAGACCAAATATCTCTTTCCTCTGTGTATTCTTGATTTTCAAAATATTCTGGAGGTAAATAATGAGCTTCATCTAATGATGGTTTCTTTTTCATAAATAAATGGAACAAATCGTATAATTTTATGTATTTTTCACCAAAAAGTGCAAATGACTCAATAGTAAGATGACCATGCGTTAATTATTAATGATGGATATAGTCAATAGCTTCAACTATTTAGTTAAATATGAATGCAATATCTTGTTCAGTGATGAACATTTTTGAATTCAAAATAACTATCTCTTTGCTATTCTCTTCTGCCACATGATATTTTTATTGTTCTTCATATATTTCATATAATTGAATCAGATTAGGATGATTCTAATTAATTAAATGAAGATAATTACAAGTTAATAATTGAGTAATGAAGCAACATATTTTTCATCTGTAAGCTTATATGATTTGATTATTCTAACTATTCCTGTATTATTATGTTAGATAGTAGTAAATGGAAAGTCTTTATCTTCTTTTTTCAATAAACTATAATAAGTGGAAAAGTTAGTGCTTCTATAAACAAGTGATTAATTTATATTTTGAAGACTTAATGTTACCATGTTTTACTCATTTGCAGTTTAAGGGACATTGTTAGTATTGCATCTTGTATTTGATCTTACGACATGCTATTATGTTGTCGATCTGTTTGGAGTTGTTGACTAAGATTATTTTTATTTTGCCTCTTATAGTTTGGCTTTCATTATTTTTTTCATTTCTTATGAAGAGCAAGAACCCATATTCTTACAATAAATTTAATTTTTGAAGAAGATAAAGGAAAATATGTTATCAAACATAAATTTACTGAAATGATAGGTATTTACGTAATGTATTAGAGATTATTAATTACTTAATTTATAAAAACACAAAAATATATAAATTAATATTGAAAAGAATAATACATTTAAAGGTAAATTCCTACTAACTTTAAATTAATTATAGAACATGCTAAGAATGATCAATTAACATAAAATTATTTTATAATTATGCATATTTATAATAATATTAAGTAGTTAATAATCAATTTTTATTTTATTGTTTATACTATAAGAAACCTATAATTATATATTATTTATTACTTATTGCAGGTCTTACAGATAATTTTTAAACATTTGTTATTTTTATTGGTAGTTCATCCTTTACTTTTAAAAATTCAGTAAAACTTGCAGTTCTTTATTTAAAACTCTCATTAGATCTAATACTCTCAAGTATTCTATTTGTTTATTCAGTACTTTGTTATATTGATATTGATTATTTTTAAAAAGAAGAGGCTTATTATTATGATAAACTAGATTTTTATAATAATTATTAGATAGATCTTTAATCATATTATGATTAATTTGAATAGATAGATTTTTATTCAAAATCTTATTCAAAAGTTAAGATTTATTACTTACCTAAAAGTGAAGTAGGAGATTATACACATTCTTCTTGACTATTATTTACCTCTTGAAAAGTGATTAATTTTGTTTGACATAAGGCAATACTCTCTCTTTAACTTCCCATTATAGCAAAATCACTTATATGGTTTAGTTCATTCATTTAAACAGATTTTTTAGTTTCTATTACAAAACTAGGCTCTCTACTTAATTTTCTTAAACTTTAGAAGTTTTACATCAATTAATCATATCTATTAGATTTATTAGAAAATGCAGAAGGAGGAGGTACTTATTAAATAAGTTCCTACTATTCAACTAATTCTTAGTCATCATTACTATATCTTTTTGCAGATGAAACCTTACCTTAACTATTATCTAATTAAACATATTTAACAGTTTCTTTCATAATCTATTATTCACTAAATAACTCTGGTTCCACTTATGTTGGTGATTTTATCAGATATTCCAATTAAGAAGGCCCAAAAGTTGTTCTACAATCATTTCCTTAAATTATTTCTAATTATAAATTTATGGGATTTTATTCTAAACTACTTTCAAAAGAGACATTAATTTTTTTATTTTAATTAGCAGATGCTTCTATTGGTATAATTGATGATAAATTGCTTATTGTATATTGTGATTTACCATAGATATCTTCAATACTTTCATTCTGTGGCTTTTTCATTTGATTATAAAAACTATTAAAATTATTCTTGCTGTTTAAAACTGATACTTATTATTATTTTAAGGCTTCTTATTACTATTTTATGATCTCCAACTGTTACTATAAAATCTAGGACTATTACTCTAGAAATTATTATTTATTTTAAGAGTTTTCATCATAATAAAAAATTTCTGGATTTTTTATGCTCTTTTGACTAGAATAATCAAAATATGGAACTTTTATTTATGTTTCCTTATAATCTAATAAATTTTTTATTTTTTGATTTTATTTTTAGAGCATTTCTATAGGTTTTGGATTATTAGATTAATATCTTTTAGTTACTTCTTATAAGTCTCTTAAAATATTTTATTTTAGATTATCAACCATATCCATAATTTGAGGATCTTCAGTTTACTTAAATGCTGATTTGTTTTAGCTTTTAGTTATTTGATTTTATTAAACACATCTTAAAGGACTAACAGAACCTCTTCCTCTAGTATTGATTACAATTGGACTCTTTTAAGCCATAGGAGTTTATGATCTATTTTCTTAATATAAATGCTTTTTGGATGGTAAATTTTCTTTATTATTTTTACAAGTAGAATTATCAAAATAATTCCTAATAGATTATTATGAATTGATTTCTCTTGTTGTATGTATTATTTTCTCTTATTTATCAACTTTCTCGCATTTTTATACTTCAGCTATTCTTTTGATTGAGGGCTATAAAGTGCTTTTTGTTCGACTAGCTTATGTAACTAATTATGTTAACTATTAAATTGCATTTATTTATGGATTTCTAACAAGCTTTACAAAATGTTGACGATCGTTGGATAACATATAAATTTTTATTAATAAATTAATGAAACTAGTCCAATAAGAGTATTACTTCAGCAGACCTAAAATTAATAGTTTGTATTCATCTGAGAGCAGATTTAAATCTATATCTCATTATTCTGATAAGTCTTTAGTACAGAATATTGATACCTAAATCTAAATCAATTAAATCATTCAAAACATTTAATACATGAAGGGCAAGATTAATTATGAAAAAAATTAATTACAACAGCTATCCTTTCTTAATAGTGATACTAATTTTTCATTTACTTCTGTTCCTCTTAGTAAATTAGATCCAGAGTCATATACAATGAAATAAAAGATTGTATAACTTAAAGAGCAAGTATGAATGTAACTTATTAGTTAAAACAATTAGAGAATGAAGAGAAGCGAATTTAATTGATGAATTATTAGAAAATTGATTAGAATGAAGAATACGCTTTTAAAAATTATACTATGAATATCATGATGAATAAATCTAAATAATAACTTATTTAACATAAAACTGAACTTATAAAGTAGATCAAATAATTAAAACAAGAAATTTATTTGGATTAAATGGAGATTAGTGTTTAAGACAATCAAATTATTGTTTTAGAAAGAAAAAATAAATAATATAAGTTAAAATTATCAAAAGTTTCTGAAGAACTTAAACAAATTAAATAAAATGTAAGTGCTTTTTAATAATTTGATATGAAAAAATCTAGATAAATCAAAGATTTTATGAGTAAATTGGGAGTAGGTGATTCTAAAGCAGATGATATGGATGAAGTAATTGAAAATTACAATAGAAAAATATAGAATAATTAAAAAACAATAGATGAATTAATATTAATCGCATAACAAAGATTATACAGTACATTATCATAAATGTAAGATTTGGAATATCAAATAAAGATATAGAAAGAAGTCAAATTAGAATTATATTAATAAATTAGTGAATTAAAATTATTGATTTCCAAATTCTCAAAAACTAAAAAGACATCCTTAGATAATAATTACAATAAAGATAATTTATAAGAGGATGAAAAAGTTGATTGGATATTAAATAGTAGAGATTTAGATGAATTTCCATTAACATAATCAAAAAATATAGATGAATTTGAAGAGGATTTTTGAATATTAATTATAATTAAAAAAAAATCTAAAAATATAATAGCATATCTTTATCATTTTATATTTAAGGAATAAGATAAAATATAGTATTAAATTTGTTAATCAAAATTTGATTAAGATTGATCATATGTAATAAAAATCAATAATCATATTTTTCTATTCTCCATTAATTATAATTGATCTATTCCATTAAATCTCTTAGCCTAAGTATTAATCAGGAGTTCTAAAAGACTGAATTATTTTCTTTATTATCTTTCAATTTAATAACCTATAATAATTATATTATTTTTAATGAATAGTGAAGAAGAAATTCTTAAATAATTTGATACTTTGCTTAAATAAGTAAATAATTATGAGGACTAAAATCCTGGTGATGAGAAATTAATGGAGTTAATTGAGAAATTCTAATTAACTTAATAGGCAATTATTAAATAACACATATTTTCTCCAAATGAGGAATTCAATGAAATTAAAACAGAACATCTAAAATTTTTTTTATTACCATATTATGTTGGTTGGGCATTAGCTTAAGTTTAAAATGAAGATATTAGATAAAAGAATGTTGAAACATCTAATTATTATGTTAAGGAATTTCTTAAACTATTAAGACATTATGAAATACTAAAAGGAATTCAATTAAAATTATTTAAATCCATGATGGAAAATGATACTTTATAAATAAATAGAGATGATAAGATTGCAAACTATAAAGAACAATAAATTCTGAATAAATAAATATAGGTATTATAAGAAATAAGTACTTTAGAATTTATAAAAATAAGATGATGATAAATTATCGAGAGAAATTATAACATTGTAATTAAATTAAAAAATTATATCTTCATTCGATATTCTCAATACTAATTAATAGGAATTGGAAATACTAAAATTTAAATCACAAATGAAAAAAGATAAACAACTTTAATAGTAATATTAAGAATAATAAGATAAGCCAATCCCAAAAATGAAAGTCTGGAATATTCCAGTAATTATTGATAATAATTATCTTATAGAAACCAACAATGTAACCCTAATTCTTTGATCCACATTGTCAACATTGTTAAACTGAAGCAGAACTTAGATAAAAACATGTTGCTGAAGTTTGGTAACCTAATGCAGCCAGACTTCCAAATATGACATTAGAAGAATTTGCTGATTCAGAAATGAAAGTATTATTACCTAATAAAGTATAGTTTGCTAAAGATTAAGAAGCTAAAATGAAAAAAGCATAAGAAGAACAATAAAAATTAGAATAAGATAAGGATGATGATAAAGATTATTGGGCAGATTAATAAACATTAAAAGATAGAAATTGGGATGATTGGAAAGATGATAATGAAAAAGGAGCTGGTAATAAAATGGGTAGATGAAATCATATATATCATTATTTTGATTTAATGAAATTATATGAATCTTGACACATTTCAGTCAATCCTCTCTTTGCTATCCATCCTAATTTTTCTTTTGTTTTATTTGGATTAGCAACTAATATAGCAACATCTCCAACTCTCTTATTTGTTATTTGATATTTGATAGGTACAAGTTTTGAATATTCATTAACAATATCTATAACACTAAATCCTTTACCTGTTCCAATATTAAAATAGTCATAATAATTTTCATTCTTTTCATCTCTTTTTATTAATTCTTATAATGCTACTACATGAGCCTCTGCTAAATCTAAAACATGTATATAATCTCTTATTCCTGTACCATCATGAGTATTATAATCATTACCAAAAACATATAATTACTCAAGATTACCTATAGCTACTTATTCTATATATGGAAATAAATTATTTGGTTTGTTGGGCATCTCTCCTAGTTTACCATCTTTTGTTGCACCAACAGGATTAAAATATCTTAAACATAGATATCTACCTCCTTTTTTTGATAATGATCTTATCAAATATTCTATTACTACTTTTGTTTCACCATATGGATTTGAAGGTTTAAATGGAGCTTCTTCATCTACAAATTCTCCAGGAGCATAAACTGTAGCTGAAGAACTGAATAAAAAATTTTAACATTTATATTCTTCAGCACATCTTAATAGATTCAAAGTGCCTACAACATTATTTTAATAATATTTTATAGGGTTTTCAACAGATTCCCCTACAGCTTTTAATGCAGCAAAGTGAATAATATAATTAATTGGATTTTTCTCTTAATATTTTTTAAAGACTTCACTTAATTCATTATAATTCTGAATATCTACAATGTGCAAATCTAATTTTTCACCTATTATACTACTAATAGTATCTAAAACTTAGATTTTACTATTGATTAGATTATCCAAAATAATTATCTAAAGATTAGTATTAAATTACTTTATATTATTTTCCAATGGTTTTATATAATTCAGTAATTGTAATTGATCCTATATATCCTAAGCCTCCAGTAATTAAAATTGATTACATAATATAAAGAACAAAAATATATTATTATCATTTTTATTAAGAATTTTTATTAAAATTATGTTGTAATGCCTTTACTTACCAATTAATTAGATTATTTATTCTGCATCTCACTGTTAAAGGTTTTGGAGTCAATAATTAAGCAGAACTAGTTTAATTTCTAAATGTCAAACTAGTTTGAAGATGATTAATTGTATTAATTGTTTGTAAGTTTAATTTTGGAATATTTTTTTAAGTTTTTTCTTTATTAGATTACTTTTCATATTTGTAAATCATTAACTTTTTTAAATCATTAGCCTTTAATTTGGATTACTATTTATCTTTACTCCTTTTTTATTCATATGGATTATTTGAATATGAGATTGGATTTAAAACACTGTTAAAATTTTTTGATATTTTATAACAATCTAATTAATTAGTTACTTTAATTGATCTATTCGAAGTACTTTTTTATTAAGAAGTTCTATTAATTTCTCTAAATGAATCTGGCTTATTAACTTTACTTAATATTTAATGCAATCCTTTATTATTTTAATTACATTTATTCTTTTATGATCTTGGTGTATTTTTTTCTATATCCTTAATTGATTTCATTATTTTAAGTTCTAGCTGTTTAATTTCAGGTATTGAATTTTTGCTCTCTTTGAGTTAATCAATCTTATTTTCAATTCTAACTCTGTTTAATTTAGAATATTTATTAAATAATTAAATTAAGCTTTCTTTTTGAACATTAAGATCTTTAGTTCTCTCTTAAGATGTTTTTAATACCTTACTGACAGAGTCAGTAGTAAATCTAGTTGATAAAGGTACTCTGATATCATTGCAACATTTACTCTAGGTTCTAGAGGATTGAGATAAAGCAAACTCTTCCAACTTTAGAGATTTTTTAAATAAAGGGTTTTGCTTTTTAAATACTTAATATTTCTAAACATTTTTCTAATTATTTATTTAATCTGGATTTAGAATTTACAACATATGCATTATTTCACTTTTCTAATCTTCTTGGATTTTTGAAATTTTACTAATTTCTTCTTAGCTGGTTTAATTTTAATCAGCTTATTATTTTATATCTTGAAGAATGTTTTCGACATTATTATTAATAGTTGAATTATTACTACTTTCAGATTCAGGAGTTGTTTAAGTCTCTATTGGTTTATCTCCGACAATACCTTTTGGAGGTTAATTTGGATTGTTTCGATTCTCATATTCTATTTATCTTTGTATTTTGTAATATTCAAGTTTTCGTTTCTTATCATAGTATAAATTCAATATTTATATCAAATTCTTATGTACAGTAAAGCGAGGTAAATCATTATGATATTTGTAGAACTCTGTTAGTAATTTAATTTTAGCAATATTTTCATTAATATAGTAATATCTCTTCATTCTTTCTCCTAATTCTTAAAATTGTGTATCATCCTTAATTTATCACTAATTGCTTACATAAAATTAAATAGTAGATGGTGTTCTGTTCTTACCCAAAATATCGTTGATTTCTTTTGTGAAGTAATAATTTTATGAAGATGCATATTTATGATAAAGAGTATGGTTGATAATGTTACTAGATGCATATTCTGAATGATAATTTCTGACATAGCCCAAGGTTTTTAATTAACATTTATGCTATTAATTCATATATAATTAAATAAGTAAATGTCCGAAGAATTAAATTCAAGTCTTGATTCCCTTGAATTAGATTTATACCACAAACCTAATCCTAGAATTAGAATGATACTTAATTACCTCAGGTCCTAAAATATCAAATTTTGTACAGACCCAAAGAAGAAAGAAGAAGACTACTATTTTAAAGAGACTTCACCAGACATCAATCCTGATCTTGATTTTGGTATGAGAAGAAATAGATTTTTAAAAAGAGGTCCACAACGAAATGGAATCACTTTCGTTTCAAATCCATCTTGATTTACTATTATATGTTGTTAATTATTTGATTCAGTAAGCTTCTGTTTTGAATTCTATGGAGACTCTTAACATGTATCATCAATCATACTAGATTATTTATTATCAATAAGACCATTCAAAATAAAGTTTTTATATTTGATATATGTTGATATGAATCTTCGATTAATCAAATTTGATTTTGTTATTAAATGAAATTTGGGAGAGCATGATTTAATTATGAATTTCATCAAATATTGACTAATATATCAAAATTTATAAGTCAATATTAATAATATATAATAGTCAGTTAACTTTAACAATTACATGACATAAAAACTTGAACTCTTGATATTTATATTATAATGTTTATAATTTTATTATTCTAGACTATTTATTCATTAGGGCCAGACAATTTTTTATGTGGATTGAGACTCTATTATGCCTAAGATTCTTATTTTTTACTTGATTAGCAGAATGAGAAGTAAATTGTATTTATTATACTTGAGTACTATGCCATACATACTTACGAGCAAATCTCCTCATTTTGCATTGGATGTCTAAGAGAACTATTAATCAGCACATAGCATGAATAATAATTCATATTTTCTCATTAATTTTCCTGATGCATATATTTTTGCAGGAAATGCTAGCGATCTATAATGGTTGTAAATATAGGAATTCAAAGTACAACAAAATTAAACTAAAGCAGATGTTCTAATCTATAATGATTATTATGGTTATTATGTAGATAAAGGCAATCAAGGTGGTCATTTATTAATTTCTTAACAAAATCTGATTAGAGAATTTTCATTTGGTAAAACGGATGCAGTTGATAAATACCTGAAACCTGGATTTATTTATATTGTAACTTGGTCATCATAGGGAGATGTTAGTATGATTCTTAAAAGGTTTATTTAATTCATTACATAATCAGAAGGCATTAATTATTGCTAATAAAAGACTATAACAAATTCATTAGATTAAATAAAATGTAATTTGGATTTTAATTTTGATCAATTAACTTTCCATACTCCTGATCTTTATCATCCACCAATTCATTATTATTTGGGAAATCAAACAGTTAATGGATCTCTTACAAATTAATACTTTACAAAAAATTATCCAGGTTTATAAGTTTTCGTTGCTTAGAATTTAAGTGATTCATTAGAAATTAGATTGCCTATAAAAAATATGGAAACTCATTAAAATGCTGTAGAATCTCCTTTAAGTGGATTAATAATTACTATTTAATAAGAAAACAGAGGGTTTATACATATATTAATTTTTGAAAGTGATGAAGGAATTATAATAAATTATAAAGAAGATGAAAATTTGGCTTATGTCACAATTGGTAAAACAGATTCAAAAGTTTTTGTGTTCTCTTTTGTTACTTCTTCTTTTACTAAATTTCCTTAAATTGATTTAATATAGCATGTATTTCAAGATTGCGTTAACATCATTTAGTAACGTAATAATGTTTGTGAGAAACCAAATAAGGAGTGTTAAAGTCTTTCATATGATTATTTTCATTAATTTGATTTTAATTTAAATTTTGATTAATAAGTTACATTTAAACTAAATGGAGAATCCTTTTAAGCTCCTTTTATAGAATTGTATGACAATTTAAATACAATTTTAAATGAATTTACTAATTTTATATCGTCAACAATTAATAATAGAGAAATGAATCATGGAGGATATATTGGGTCATTTTTGAGAATTACTAATTAAAATTAAAGCATTAATTCATTAATTATTAATGAATAGAATGAATAATTAGAGGTGTATTACAATATTAATGATAATATATGTATGTAAATTTATTATATTTATAGACTCTCATTAAGTTTAAAATGTAAACGGAAGAACATATGTTTTAGTATTTGTATCATAAAAAGAATTAACAGATATGGAGTGTCTATAAATTTTTAGAGAATTTATTGATCATATTCAAAGAATTTTCATAATTGAATAATGTAAACAATGATAAATTAATCATAGTGGAATAAAGATGTGAAAGTTAAATCAAAAATTTTGATGTGAAACCTATTCAGTATAAAGATATTCACAAATTAGTAAAATAAGCAACAGAATTACTTTAGAAAACACACTAATAAGATAATTATTAGTAAAATGATTTTGAATATTCAACTAATGAAGATCCAGAAGATAATTTGGAATATTTAGATGAAGATGAATAAATGTACATGATGGATTATGAAAATTAAGCATAATTTATGCCTAATGAAGATCCTTCAAATTAAATGACTTAAGAATAAATTATGGAATATTAAAGAATGTTAGATATGGAGTAAGAATAGTAATTTTAAGAGTAATATTAATAAGAATAATAACAACAAAAATCTAGGAAAGTTGAAGAAATTCATTTCAATGATATTGGTAATTAAAAAAAACAATAATAAAATCATAATGTGGAATAAAAAGTTCAAAAAAAATAATAAACCTAATAAAGTGTATAAAAAAAATAAAATGCCAAACCAATTGAAAAGGTTCAATAGAATTTAAGATAAAATAAATAATAAAAAATATAATAATCGTAGTAATAATAATAATAATAATAATAATAATAATAATAATAATAATAATAATAATAATAATAATAATAATAATAATAATAATAATAATAATAATAATAATAATAATAATAATAATAATAATAATAATAATAATAATAATAATAATAATAATAATAATAATAATAATAATAATAATAATAATAATAATAATAATAATAATAATAATAATAATAATAATAATAATAATAATAATAATAATAATAATAATAATAATAATAATAATAATAATAATAATAATAATAATAATAATAATAATAATAATAATAATAATAATAATAATAATAATAATAATAATAATAATAATAATAATAATAATAATAATAATAATAATAATAATAATAATAATAATAATAATAATAATAATAATAATAATAATAATAATAATAATAATAATAATAATAATAATAATAATAATAATAATAATAATAATAATAATAATAATAATAATAATAATAATAATAATAATAATAATAATAATAATAATAATAATAATAATAATAATAATAATAATAATAATAATAATAATAATAATAATAATAATAATAATAATAATAATAATAATAATAATAATAATAATAATAATAATAATAATAATAATAATAATAATAATAATAATAATAATAATAATAATAATAATAATAATAATAATAATAATAATAATAATAATAATAATAATAATAATAATAATAATAATAATAATAATAATAATAATAATAATAATAATAATAATAATAATAATAATAATAATAAACTTAATTACCTTCTCATTAAGAAGATTCAAAATATTAATAAACTTTTCATTAAAAAGAAGAGTATTATGATAAAAATGATAGGTATAGAAGAAGAGAATCTAAAGAAAGAGGCGATTAATATGGAAGGAGAGATGAATATTATGGAAGAAGAGATGATTATGGAAGAAGAGATGACTATTATGGTAGAAGGGATGATTATTATGGAAGAAGAGATGATTATTATGGGAGGGATGATTATTAAGGGAGAGATGATTACTATGGGAGAGATGATTATTATGATAGAGAAGATATTAAAAGAGGACCTGCATTGACTGGATAAAGCATAATTGTTCCTAGAAATCCAAGTGATTAAGAATTAGGTAGATTCTTTAGAGAAGTTATAGGGAGATTATCAACTAAAGGCAAAAATTGAAAATATAAAATAATATACATCTTTAAAATTTTTTCCAAATTAATTTATTTTTATTTATAATTAATCACTCCAATGAATATTTATTAAATAATATATTAATCCAAATGCAAGATTCTTAAGAGAAAATACCAAAATTAGATCTCAACAATAGAAGATCTCAATCAATGGCCAATTCTAATCCTGCATTTAAAAAACTTAAAGAAACATTACTAATTGATAATTAAACTAGTACTCGTTAATTGAAACGAAAGTAAGGTGATATTTTGGATTCAATTCTTGAAGATGCAAATTTGATATTAAGAAATAAACTTTTAGAAAAGAATATTTATTAACTGAAGGAATTAGGTTTACTGAAATAATATGATCCTACAATAGCAATAGAATAAGGATTAAAGAAAAGTAATTATGTGATGAATGATTATCATAATAAAAGTACTACAAATGGATATTCAAGAAATTATGGAGGATTGTTTTACAATAGATGATTTATTTTAATAAAATTTTTAATAATCAAATAAATTACTACTTCTAAATAATATTAATAAATATATGGCTATTGTTAATTATCATTATTCTTAATCTTCTAATTTTGGTTGCTTATTAAGAGTTTCCATAAATTTTTCTAATGGACTAATTGTCTTCATTTATAACTCTAATAATTTATTTTTCTCTTTTAGTTTTTGAAGTTTTTTGTTTTTCTTTGATTCATCTATATCAAGTAGTGTTTACTTATCTGTAATTTATAAGTTGGATTAACCCTATTGATTTAGATGTTTAATTAATTATATTTTGAATTTCTTTTTTTACTCATCTAATCTATTTTCAATTTCATTCAAATCATTTCTGTGTCCAAGAATAGGTTATTATTATATATATTAATCTTTTGTTATTATAGGTTGAAGCAAATTAGGAGAAGGAATAACAGATTGATATTTCTTTGATAATTCTTCATAAGTTGAGAAATCCTCTAAATTAGATTATTTATAAATTTCCTTATTGTAGGATGAATAATTTCTTTAATTTTATTTATCTTATTTTTTTCTTTTTAAATTAAATTCATCATCTTGATTATGATTCTGTATTTAAGTATTTGTGTCTTTTTTAAAATATACACCATCACTTAATTATTCTTATATTTTAATATCACATTCAATAAAATCGCTAGGATTACGATGAAATAATTCAAAGCATGGAAATGCACATATAAATATTTTATTTTCATTAAATAGTTTTTCACATAATCTACATCTATAAAAAGGTTTTGTTAATTAGTTGAATTTCATACATACAACACAATATTTAAATGATTCTTCTTATTTTTAAGGTATTGGTGTATGATATAAATCACTATATTATTTATTAAGACCAAATTCTAATGATTGTGTATTAGTTGCACTTTCTTTAAATGTAGAATTCATTCTTTTTTTGGCTTTCTGTAAATTAGTTTCTATTTATTGTGCTTTTTCAAGAGTAAAGATTTTAGCTAAACTAATTCTAAAATTTGATTATAGCATGTCTTCAATCAATAAGGATGTGTTATAGATCATAACTTCAAAATATTCTTCAAATTCTATTCTCAATTAATTGAATCCTTCTATATTATTTAATTAAGAACATAGATAAAAATTGCTTCTATATTGTAATAAATTCATTATTGAATTTTCATAGTATTGTTATTAAATATCTTTGTAAACTTAAAGAATACTTTTATTAGAGATTGATTATTTTTAAGGGAATAAATGTACTTATGATTTATTTTTTATTAAATATAATTATTCTATTTAATATTCACCAGGCAATAAATTTTAAATGGTTTAATGTAATGTTTTTTCATAAGTAATAATAGGGTAGATATCTTAATCAGTTAATTGTATGATTCTTTCCAAATTCAATTCAAACATAACATATAATATATGATTGTGATTTGAATATTTAAAAAGCATCCTCATAAGTCGATTAATCTTATCCTATAATTAAATCCTATGAGAAACCACAATCAAATCTATAATGAATAATCTCTAAAAATCTAAGAGATAGTAAGTAGTATATGCCTTGTATATTTACTCAATAAGAATCAATTCTTATTCTGGTTAACAAATAGATTTAACTGTTTTTTAGAATTATTGTAATTCATTTTGCAATTTAGATTTAGATTTTTCATTTAGATACATAAATAAATGAGTGTCCAAAAATTTAAATCTACCTATTGGCATCATATATTCTATTCCACATCTAAGCCAAGGTTCTGCATTCCAATAATCATCAATATAAGGAAATCTAAAAATTCCAAATAATATTTGTAATCCAAAATAAAGTTGTATTTCTGTTTCTTTATATTTTTTTTTATTGTAATGAGATTGAATTTTAGAAGGTTGTTATTTCAAATCTTCTTCTAGAATTTCAAGTAAATATTGATTAACTAAATCTGTTAAAGTGATAATCAGAGAATTAGGAAAGAAATTATCGTATATGTTTTAAGGTGTTTAGAATTAGTGTATTTTCTTTGCAGGATATTATGAATATGACAAAATATCAAAAGATTTTGGTATAACAGCTTCAATAATTTTGAATGTTCTTTCCAGATTTATTTAAGAAATGTATTCTCTTTCATCATCAGAATCCATTTAAGTACAATATTCTTCACAATCACTAAGAATAACTTCTTATTTCCAAAAACAATTATACTTCCTAACTTTCTCTGAAATTTGTAATGTTGTTGGTATAATGGTTAAAGATGTAGTAGAATTGTTTATTACTTCTTGTTTCATTGTAATTATTAAAATAGTGGTTCTAATATGGGATGAGATAATTATCTTGGAAATAAAGAGATTATTATATGATATCCTTTTATTTTTTTAGAAAATGTAATTATATATATATATATATTTGTTTATATAATATAGAGAAAATATAACAAGTTTAAATTAAATAATTTCTTAATTCTCTCTTTATGCAACGAGAAAACTAAAATGATAATAAAAGCAGAAGCAGAAGTCGAAGCAGGTCTAGTAAAAAGAACAATCAACATAACCAAACCTAAAATACCATAAATTAGAAATATCAAAAAGAAAGAAATTGCTATTATAATGATAATAAAGAATATATTTCTCATAATTCTAGTCCAATTAGATTATAAGAAGAACATCATATTAGTGATGAACATACTAAGTAAATATTGTTTTTATGCAGAGAAAGCAAAGAAGAATATAAGATCTTAGATCAGAATTAAAAGGTTAATATAGCGCCTAATAATTAATTTTAAATACAATGTGAAAATCTAGATTTGGGAATTAGACATCATACATCGATTCCTTTACCTTAGAAGGAAGTTAATACTAATACAAAAGAGACTCTTGATAAATAGACATCTGAAATGATCACAATTAATGACAGCAGCTAAGAAGAGGATCAAGATGCTGGCAGCATTGGAGATAAAGCTGGTCATCTTTAGGATGATGATTAAGTTGAGAATTATAAAACTGATTTACCAAAAAATGAACTTTTAGGATAAAAAATACCAAAAATTTAGAGAACAAAAATAAAAAGATCATCATAAGATACATAATAATAATAAAAATAAATAAAATAATCTGTCGAAAGTATAGATTTAAATAAGGATGATAATATTTTATCCTTTTTTGGACTTAATCATCCAATGTTATAAAGTTCTATAGAATACAATAAAAAAGAATTATTTGAATTAGTAGAACCTTATGAATATTAATGTGGAAATTTCATGATTAATTTGGGTATTCAGGGTCATTATACTGCTATAGTGACTTTGCCTAGTCTATCCTAAAAGAAAACAATTTATTATTTATTTATGATGTTCTAATTTGAGTTAAAAAACATTTATTGCTTAATCCCAGAAGATGATTAAACAATATTACTGGTTAGTTCTAATATTTAATCACTTTATTATTACTGTATTTCAAATAATCAATAAAAAGGAAATTATAAAACAATGTTCTAAGATAGTAATCTAAAATGCAAATTTCCCTATATCTTTCCATCTTTAATTAGAAAATTTATAGTTTCATTAAAAAAAAATGATTAATAGATTCGATATCAAATTAATTATGATTCACATGCAACATAATTAGCTATAGAAGATTATTATTAGGATGTTCCTGGACACTTAATTACAGGTACTAGTCATCCTTTTTTGAAAATACTTTTTTTTAAATCCCAAAATAATTAGATTCCTTCATTTTATTATAAATTTTTAAGTACTCCACTCTATGAAGGACAATTTAGTTTAAAGGCTTCACTTTAATAAAATGGGAATATTATTGTTATAGAGAGAAGGTTTTAATATTAATCATTAATTTTAGGTTTTTAAGTCCTTTCTGTTATGGTATTCATTCAATTAAAATTGAAATTAATCGAATTACAAATATTATTTTAATGAAATAAGTTGGAAAAGATTATGAAATTCAATCAAAAAATATCCAATAATTTTGGGATGATGTCAATTTAAAATATCTTTAATTATACCCTTCGTATAATATTATTATATGTTTAGAAAATTATTATATAACTATTTTGTAGAACTAATAAATTAAGATAGAAAGGTCTCAGAAAAATATAAAAAATGGAATCAATTATATGATTACTTGAGTAAATCTCAATAATTCAAAACTAATAAGCAAAATGATAAGTCCATTATTGTGAATAATAAACAATTCTATTGTTTTTCTATAGAGGACATTAAAAATGGAAACAAAATTAAATATTTATGATAAATATGAATAAATTATAGTTTGTCTTTAAATTTTGTACAGAGTCTCAAAAGTCAATCTATAAACTTGAGAATGCATAAAAATACATCTCTGATTTAGTGTAAAAGACTGATTGGATTAGTTTTGCTATATCTAAGCATATACCTAAATAAGTGAGGTACTAATTAATAATTGAATAAAGATAAGATTACTTGAATATCTGTCAATTTCATAATGAATTAGCAAGAATTGAAGAAACATCTAAAGAAAGATCTCTTGGAGTAGGCAAACTATAATATTGGTCAGATCAAATCGATTAAGTAAAATTCCTTAAGAATTTGAGATTTTTTTAGATAATCCCTAAAGAGATCCTTTATCTATTTGTCTTCACAATAGTTGCAAAAATAACCCATTGCCAAAATATCTATTTCAAAAAATGATAAATCATCGTAAACAATAAGTAGAAAGATCAGAATTTGCAAATCTTGTAGATATGGCTACAGCTGCAGAAGTAAACAGAGGATCACAATTCTTATTATTTTTACGATTATTGAGAATGGATATTGAAAATCAAGATTTAAAATCATTAACAGAATATTCAGCATAAGCAGTTGGCATTACAGATTATCTAAGACGAGTGCCTTTCACACTTTAAAATTATAAATTAAATTTACCAGAAGATATCAAAATTAAACATAGTATAAATGTTAGATCACTTTGGGATAGAATAAGGGGTAATTATTTGATTAGAATTTTTAGGGGAACCAAAGGAAGAATTATATGATGCAGTTTTAGAAGTGGCTGCTCTTGCAAGAACATAAATGATTAATGCTAATAAATTTTCCAATAAAATACCTGCTTAATCATTTAGAGCTTTTCTGCATTTAATTCCAACAGAATAATATTTAGAAGAACTTGAATACTATAATTTTAAGATATTTGAAAAGTATTGTTTATATTTATATTAGAGCAATCAATTAAAATTCATATGTATAGTTACCCATAACATTGTTTAAAAATTGCAGAAAAATGAGGTTTCTTAACAAAGATTACGAATCCTAATGAGTAATAATTTATAGATATTAAATTAATTTTATGAAAAAGTCATATTCATAAAATAATTCAGGAAATTTTGATTTTCCTGAAGTTAATAAACCAAGATTCGAACCTTAACTTCATAAAATAAGTGCAAGTACATAGTAAAAAGTTGTAATATAAAAATTGACAAATTCACTCAATAATAATAAAATTGTTACATAATCAACAGAATAACCTTAGACTATAAGAAGTTAAATTTAAAAGCCTTTTATTAATTCAGATAGATTTATGTTTGATTTAGATGCTTCAATGGTTTATATACATAGAGAAAAAATTATGTAATTTGAAGAAGTTGAATAATAGAGGATTGTATAATTATTAAAAGATGTATAATAAAAGGTTCCTTAAGTAAATGATAAAGTAAATCATTTCATAGCATTAGCAGGTTAATTCGAAAATGAAAAAGTAAATCCATTAGTAAATTAATTCATAAAAGTAGTTGAATAATTATTATAAATATTTGACGAGAAAACAAAAGAAATAAAAGAATATTAATTTGCATTGAAGTAATGTAGAGAATAAGTATAAAATAATAGCAGATTAATAGAAGATTAATCATAAATGATAAAATATATGGAAAGTTAAAATTAAAATGCTAAAAATGTTACAAGAACATTTTAGAGATCTAATGAATTAGCTGTTATAAATGTTTAATTAGAAAAGAAAGTTGAACTTTTAAATTAGAATTTATAGTTTTTAATGAATCAAAATAAAGATAGTTTAGCTACTTAATTATAATAAAAAATTGATTAATTAAATAAAACAATTGAAGAATAATAAAATAAATTATATGATGATAATAATAAATAGATTTAATTGTAATAATAAATATAAACTCTAAAATCAACTGAATTTAAACATTAAATTTAACTTAGAAAATTAGAAGATAAAATATAAGAATATGAATCAAAATTAAAAGAATTAACTTTTCAAGTTTCATATTCTAAAGAATAAAAAGATTAATATAGAGAACTTTATTATATGACATATGAAGATTTATAAATGAATAAATTAAATACTTAAACAGAAAGAAAATAAATGCAAAAGAGTTTTGAAAAAATTAGAATGTTATAAGATAGAATAGATGAAATGACAGTCAAAAGAAGTAAGGAAATAGATGCTCCATTTTAAAGTAGAGTAGAAGGAGATGTGATACAATTATAAGCAATTACAAAAATTTTAGATGAAGATCACGTATTTTAAAGGTATATGATGAGTAGTTTTTTAAAGAATGTTTAAGAGTATGATTCAAAATTAGTAGATGCATATGTTGATGTTAAAAGATTAGTAATAGGTAGAGATGAAGAGGCAGAATTATAAACATTAAGATATAATTATCCACCCTTTACTTTATTTTTAGAAAAGAGAATTGTTGATTAAGAAACATAATATCTATAAATAAGACCAATATCAAATAATTTTATGGGTTTACTTAGAGCTATATTAGATGGAATGTATATTGAGTTTCAAAAGAATACTTATATATCTTTTTAAAGTTATATAATATCTTGGTTAAGTACATTCACAATTGAAAATCATCAAGTTATAATATTCCCAGAAGATACAAAAAGAGTAAATTTACAAACTATAAATTAAGGTCAAGATAGAAGAATAATTGCACACTTTTTATCTAGATTTAATGGTACCCAGATTAGATAAAGTATGGGAAGTAGTATAATTTAGACATTTTTTAAATGATATCTATTCATTAGAAGAATTATATTTCTATCTTCATGTTCGCTTTTTATTAAGAAGAGGACCTTGGATAGAATAATTTGATTCAATATATGGTGTTGTCCATTATATGAAAGTACAATAAGCAGAATCCATAATACTTAGATTTTTAGAATAATTTGATAAAATAAATTAAACATTAGTGATGAGAGCAGTCAATGAACGAATTGTAGAAGGAAAAAGTATTTAAATATATAATTATATAAGAAGATAGA